TATCTTGGAACTATCTGCAGGATTCACTAGAAATTATCCGCAATTTTTTTTTGGAATACTCCCTACAAATCCTTTGGAACTGTCCTCAGAATTCAATATCCTTGAGGTTCTTCTCGGATTTTTTTAGAACTCTCCTAAGAGCTCTTTTGAAATTCATTTCAGAAGTCCACTGGAATTATACTGAGAACACTTCATGATTTTTTTCTCAGAACACCTTGGAACTGAAATTCCTTTAGAGTTTCAGAAATTTTTCCCGGAATGAGCTAGAAATTATCCTCGGAATTCGCTTGAAATTTTGCTTAAAATCCTTTTGGAATTTCACTCAAAATTTGATTTTCTCGGTATTCTTTTCGAAATTATCTTGGGACTATCAGCAGGATGCACTAGAAATTAATTATCAAAATTTTCTTGGAATACTCCCCAGAAATCCTTTGGAACTACCCTCAGAATTCAATATCCTTGAGGTTCTTCTCGGAATATTTTAGAACATTTTTTTTCTTAGAACACATTGGAATTGAAATTTCCCCAAAGTTTCAGAAGAATTTTGCTCTGTATTCTCCAGAAATTCTTCCCAGAATGAGCATGAAATTTTCATCAACATCCCTTTGGAATTTCATTCAAAATTTGATTCTCCGGTATTCTTTTCGAAATTATCTTGGAACTATTTGCAGGATTCACTAGAAATTATTCGCAGAATAATCATGGAATCATCCCCAAAAATCTTTTCTTTTGGAACAGTCCTCAGCATTCAATACCCTTGAGGTTCTTCTCAGAAGTAAAGTTTAAGTTGACATTCACCAGAACTGTGCAATTTTTACCTCAGCAATTTTCAATTCAGTTTGCCCTTCCATGCAGCAGATTGTTGCAAATCTTATACCAGAAATTTTCAATACAAACTTGCCCCCAGGTAGTTTTAGACCAGAAAATTTCAATTGACCAGGTGGCACATTGCGCATCTCGAAACGAAAGACATTTTGTACGAATGCTTGTATGAAAAAGTTATTCGTTTCGAGATATGCAATGCGGCCACAGAATGGTGTAAATTTTCCACCGTTAATGTTTAATAAAAATTTGCTTCCCCAATCTTCTGATTCGGGCAGATTTCCTTTTTCCATTTTCTACCAGATATTTTCAATATAGCTGGCTTCTCCTATCATCAGAATGTTGCAGGTTTTCCACCAAATAAAGTTTGCCCCTATTTTCGGATTTTTCATCATACATTTTCAGTAAAACAGCTTCCCTCCAATCATCAGAAAGGTGCAAATTTTACAACAGAAATTATTATTAAAATTTGTTTCTCTATTCAGCAGGTAGGTATTCGTCTCTAATCGTGTAGCGTAGATGCAACGTCACGCTCGAGCACTACCGTGGAACTATGTCCCTTCCGAGCTTAACCCTTGCGGATCGTGTATCCCGCGGGAGAAATCCTAGCCAAATTATCGATGATTCGTTGTTGTGGCATGGACCACTGTTCCTAACCCAACTGGTTGATACTTGGCTGAAATTTCCAATGAATTTACGGATAACCAATGACATGGAGCAGGAGAAACGTGCATTCGTCGTACTAACTGTCACAGAAATTGAAGATTCTATCTTCGGGAGATATTCGGAACTAGGGAAGCTGTTGAAGGTGGTGGCCAGGTGCTTACGATTTGGAACCAACTGCCGACGGTTGAAAGCAGCACGAGTGTTCGGGAACCTTACTCCAACAAAAATCGAAGTGGAGTTGAAATCCATGGTACGCCTAGCTTAGGAAATGCGCTGATCTGTGCAAGATTTCTGCAATCGTTGGTCCAGAGACTACATCAGTCAGCTTCATCAACGGTCCAAATGGAAGACATCATCTCCTAACATCCAGAAGGGAGTTCTAGCAACCGGTGAACACTCGTGTTTATTTCAGTTACCGTGGGGACGTAATTTGTGATTAGCCCCGGTCCCTTTCAAATTGTATCATTATTTATGTACCGTCCTTATATTTGAAATGACGTTTCACATTCATCTAGTGATGGCCAAATTTTATTCGAATAAGTATTCGAAAAGTAAAATATTTGTAATCGGTTATATCATGCCGATAGAAGCATTAACTTCTCCAGAGGATCATCACCCATCGTTTCAAACATGTGCTGCACTCTCATCTATTTCATCTCTACCGAGGGGGAGCAAACCCACAAAATTACCTTGCATACGGGGTATTCATTGGATGAAATAGACCGTGAAAGAGGACACTAAAATATAAAGTTTTTCTTCCGACAGTTTCATCTTAGTATTCTTCTTTGGTTCTAGCAACCGGTGAAAACTAACGATTCTAAATTGGCTCACTACTTGACTAGGCTATTGGTCCCAAGCAAATCGATTAACGTACCCCATTCTAGTCAAAATTCTAGTACTACACTATGTTTGTTTTGATTCGCTATGAAAGGTTAGCAGATAAAATCAGGGGTTCGTGGCTGGTTCTAGTCCTCCTGAAACAGGATGGCTTCCCTCCGTTCATGTGGAACCTCGGACGAGTGGAGAAAACCTACATGGGATCCGACAGATTGGCGCGTGTGGTGTTGGTACGCACGAACCGAGGCTTGTATAAATGGGCCGTAACCGAGGTACTAGCATAAGACCAGAAGGTCCCGAAGAAACGTGCTCAACTTTTTGGCTCAGCTCTGGTACTCTCTTCGGTCCCAAGCTAATCGATTCACCCCTCGAAACATAAGAAAAACCAATAACCCCTCATTTTATCTGTCAAACTTTCATAGCGAATCAAAACAAACATTGCGTAGTACTAGAATTTCGACTAGAATGGGGTACGTTAATCGTTTGCTTGGGTCAATAGGTTAGTCAAGTAGTGAGCTAATTTAAAATCGTTAGTTTCGTATTGATTGTTGGGTTATATTTTATTATCTGAAAGTTTGAAAAGGATTGGTCAACTAGGTAATTTTCTACAGCGTTTTTTTCCGCGATGCAATTTGATGTGGGACACCCTTTATGCGAATAGGAAGTCGATCTTTTTTCACATACTGATACTACTACAATGAAAGATATAACCGAACCAATGCACCGAATTGTATTTTTTAGAGTTAGTTGAAATATAGCACTTGTATGAAGTAGACGATATCGCTTGTTCGCAAAACCGCACAAATTTCGCGTAACCCGAAAGTACCTCGAGTTGTCGTCGGTCGAAAGAAATAGTCGCGAAGGTGTCCGCTTTGAGTCTCATCCATCGCAAACTTCATCACCATAGAAGAATTCTTTTTTAATCATGAATACGAATTTAAAATAATCTTTTGAATTTAATGAAAGAAGCTTTAAGAAAAGTTCGTTTTGAAGTCGAAATTAAACCGTTGGGGTGGTATGAGCGCTCTTATAAACAACCGGTGAAAACGTTATGATCTCTTGAGGTTTTGTGAAGGGTAAAAAATGAACAGTTTTAACGAAAAAATATTTAAAAGATAGGTACAATCATTTTCTTTACAATAAATTAAATTTAAAAAGTACTGTCTATTTAGGGCTATTATTTTTGTAAATGACTAATAATTTTACCAATGCAGCTGCTTCAAAACAACGTTTCATATGATACAGTAATATTTACAAAATGAATAATGCAAAATTGAAGAATTTAAGTAGAAAATGTTTGAAATATCAGTGGTGCTTATATTGCCCCGGATAGACTAAAGTAATATATTGTTACGAAAAACTTTAATATTTATTGAAAACTAGAAAAAACATCATGTCATCTATTTAAGAAACTAACTACGATTTATATTGCTACTGAAGGAATATCTACCACAAGTCATAAGAAACTACTGATTGAACTTATTTTCTGATTCAGGAATTTTATAACATTTTTGACATTTTGAGCTAGTCTAACATTTTTCCAATATTCGCACTACATAAAAGCAAATTTTTAGACTAAAATACAATGGATAGTTAAAGTTGGATTCAAGCATTAAGCCTGCAACAAATTATTGTAAAATATGTTCAATAAGTTGGTTTTTAAGCGGGTGGTCATACTGCCCCATTGGCGGAATTGCCCCACTTTCCGCTATATCGTGCAACGAGATAGCTGCGTGTTGCTAACCGTGAGGCGACCAAACGACGGCCGTAAACCAATGAGAACAGGTTCTTCCCTAACACAGCCTTATATTGCAAAAAAAGCCCTTATTGGGCTATTAACGGGTTTCGAGGTTACTTGGGTTATATGATGTTTCCTTAACTTCTGTGAAGTTCTTCAAACTTGTATAAAGTTTCCGCTTCTACGCAGTTTTACCTTTTTATTACAAAGTTCCCTGAAGTTCTACAAAGTTCACTGAGGCTCTGTTAACTTCTTTATATTTATTTGAAGTTTCCTGTATTTCTCCCTGAACATTTACGATGTTCCTACGAAATTCGCTAACTTTCTATAAAGTTCGATAAATGTCTACAAAGTTTGATGAAGTTTTACAAAATTTGCTGAACTTCTACAAAATTCTTTGCCCTTCGACGAAGTTCACAGAAGTTCAACTAAGTTTGCTGAACTCCTAAAAATTCGCTGACCTTCTACAAAATTGGCGGCACTTTTAGAAAGTTGATCTTCCACGCCATTGACTGAACTTCTTCGTTGTTTTCTAACGTTTTATAAAGATTCATGAAGATCTACGAAGTTCCTTGAATTTATGAATCATTCCCTGAACTAAAACACGTTTCGGAATGACCGGCTGTAGGGCGTCTTAGTGAAGGTTCCTAAGATGAGGGTCTGACTGTGTGCTATAATTGACAACCCAGTGACAGGGCCTCTACATTAGGATAGTGGCACAGAATAGAAGTGGAACTTCCTGGATCCGTGGCGCCATATTATTGTTGTGAACACAACCCAAGCAACAATAAGTTCTGATAAAAGGCTATTTGTGGCTTAAGCAGCTTGGTTGAAGGTGGTGTATAGAATTCTAAGCAGCCTCATTTTTAGGTCGTTATAAGAACTTGAAAGTTCCGGGACTGAAATTGAAGAGCATTCTAAGCAGCTTCTGGCGGAACTTAAACGGAAATTTTAGAAAAAAAAAAAAAAAAAAAAACTACAAGGGGTAGCCCTATGGGGTTGAACGCAATGGTGACGTAGGGCTGCGTGGTCTTATATAATAAACCTTTTTCGTTAACTGCAGCAGGAGATTGTGTTTTGTGTAGGAATAGGAATTTATAGCGGGGTACTCTCTGTTTATACTCTTTAGTATGATGCGCTTGACAAAGATGGGCCACAGCGACTCACGAATAGCTACTGATTCCGACCAATAACGGTGCAGCTTCTTCTTTCTATCGATGCTCATGTGGACTGCACCTCGCTGCTTGCAAGCAGTCTTTCATTGTGTACTGGATATCACCACCTTTTACCACGCGGTGATTGAATAAACACCGTTTGGTGAGACCGGATGGAATTCAACTTTGAAATCTGTGTTAAAGAAATCGTTTTTCGCAGGCAATCGGTAATAATTTTAACAATCAAAGCAACAGTTGCACATGTGGGCAATTTTCAATAGTACCATTTCGAAAAATGATAAAGTCTTAAATTTAACAGATGCGTAGAAATATATCTGACCGATTGGTCATGAAATTATTGAAATTGGTCCAGGGGCAGCTGAGTTATTAACGTTCAAAATCTTTCATAATTTTGTGACATGTTCCATTTTCGGTTTTCACAAAGTGTACCCCCATATAGAAATCACAGACATAGCCCTACGTAAAAAAAATTATCCTCTGCATTAATTCTATATTTAGTTCGCATTTTTATGAAAGTTAATTCTAAAGTCAGGTCTTAATGAAAGTTTTTCTAAAGACAGGTATGAACGTGTATTGATTTATCAGCATCAGTAGTACGCAAGGGCGTAGCCAGGTTTCGAGCTAGGGAGGGGCGAAAAAAATTACTATGGAAAATTTGGCCGAATGCCATTTCACCGAACGTCATTTCCTGGCTACGAGTAATAGTATTGGAGCTGTTTGAATTAAACCCAACCCTAGCATGAACCGCTATGTCATCTGAAATATATTAAAGTGAGCTATAGTCCCGCCTACTGTTGAAGTTTTCAGAGCCAGCTGACTGACTAGAATACGAAACACAACACCTTGATGAGCTTTAAATTGGTGTTTGCCCGCATGGTTTTCCAACACACTTGTGGCACAGTGGTTAGCGTTCGTAGCTCGGATGCCGAATACACGGGTTCGAATCCAGGAAATTATTTTTTTTAGGATAGAATATTGATGCACTGTATAAATATAAGAATTATGACTTATTTGAGCCACTGATCATTTCATATTTACGTACATTAAATTTTGTTACTTATAAAGACTTGTGCAGATTGCTTCATGCGGGCTGGGACGGACCTTTTGAGATACTTTAAAGTTGCTAAGAAGTTCCGCTGGGAACTTTTTCGGAACTTTGTTGTGGCCATGTTTTCAGCCCTGTCTGAAGTTCCAAAGAAATGCTTAAGGATGCTTTTTGGATTTTTTTTTGAACTTCAAGTTGCAAGGAGTACGCATTGGAACTTTTTGGAGCCTGAAGTTCCTCGTGCGCTTTCTATAGCTTCGTAAGTAGCCAGAATGTTGTGTTAGAACTTTATATACACTTTATGAAACTTGAAAGTGGGTTAATCGTTGAATACGGAACTTTTGGTTGCTTGGGAAGAACGTTCTGTCAGAACTTTATTCAAACTTTATGGAACTTGGAAGTGAGTTTTATCGTTGAATGAGGAACTTTTGGTTACTTGGGAAGCGCACCTACCGGTAGATGGCAAGCTTTGCCTGCAGTTTATATGGGCAGCATGTTTTGATGGTGTGAGTGTCCATAGAAAACCCTTGTGCAGCGCATCCGCTAGCATCGGTAGGTGAACAAAAATGTTCTCTCACTTTTTAATACATTGATTCGTTCACACTTCCACTTCTGTTCTGTAATAGTTGTCTAAAGGAGTAGCAAAAATTCGGTTCACAATGGAAAAGGAATGAAGTTTTACATGGAAATACATATTTTTTGTAAATTTAAACAACTTCTTCTAAAACTTATTCTGAAATAAATACCTACGAGATTATATCTATAAAATGCATTGCAAACTTCAAAGCAAGTAGGGGGATGTGCTAAAGTGACGTAATTTCCAAGGGGATGCTTGAGAAATTGTGACAACATGGGACACAACATGGGTACAAACTTTGCTTGACGTAATTAATGAACGCTCCCTTAATATATGCTCCCTATAATTATGAATTTTATAAATCATTGAACAGACTAAGAACGCAATTTCAGAGAGAATATACTTTAAAGTTCCAAGTGCAATTCTATGGAATCTTAAACGCGATTGCCTTAAAATTTCAAACATTCCCATCACCGTCATGCGGCAGCCTCACCCGAAGCCATCCATCAATCCTACACCTATTGAACTGGCCGGCCGCGGCAATCAAACACAAAACACTTGATAACCATTATGCAAGTCATCAATTTAACACCGACACGCAAACCCACCACATTTGGTTCTTCCTCATCTTCGCAATCTTGGTAATCACTTATTACTACACCCCATCGCGCATCGCTGCAACATGTTTTCCCCCCTTTAATTACTCTCTGCCCGCAATGGCTGCTTAACCCATTAATTCAACTGCATTCCCCCTCCGCCCGCTATTCCGGTGGCACCGTCAGCAGCGTTGTTGTTGGTGGTGTTGCGATCCTTTCGCCAGGAAACGTGCAGCTTTGCCCGTCAAGTGCCATTAATCTTACAATTGCTCGATTTATTCACAATCATTAGCATGGAACTAGGGTTGCCGCCGGCTGTTGAGGTGCCGGAGGCGGCAGAGTTGGCAGCCCCGTTGCTATTGCCCTCCGGTGCTGCCGATCCGTTGACCACAACCGCGTGATGCGGAAGATGATGGTTGTTGTTGTTGTTGTTGTTGGCGCCAGGACCAGCGGTCACACCAGCTCCAGCACCGCCAACGGTGGGGTCACCGGTGCCGTCCATGTTCCTGGTGAGGGCCAACCGCTCCTCGAACGAGACGGGTGAGATCTGCTGTGCGGTCAAACTGCCCGGATGATTGATGCTGTTCCGGGCGTGGTGATGGCGACTTCCGTTGAAGGATGTTTGCTGCGTGTGCTGCGGAATGGAAGGTGTAAAATGTGAGATAAGACGGGAGTTTTAAATTGGTTTTCTACAGCCAGCCGTTGGGAGTGCTGTGAGGATAGCAGCTGTATACATTGCAATAAGAACGCGGAACAGATACAGAACTAGGAAGCATACACTTTTCAATTCAGTTTGCCAATTGGTGAAAATTAATTGGATTTTGATGTAATTAGGAAACAAGCTGTACGGAATTATGGTTACATGCAGCGTAGCGGGGCTACAATGAATTTCGGTGTGCAGAACAATGAGAGTTGCAATTGAATCACCGAAAATTTTGAGTTGGTTGTGTTTCTATTGAGATACTTTGCAAGTAAAATATAATTTTCCGATTTATGAAAATGCATGATTGTGGTTTCTCCTGAATTTAAAGGCTGACTTAAAGTAAATTGGTACGCCCCTCACGCGCCACTAGCACGCCTCTAGTGTTGGGAATCGACCATCTTTGACAGTGGTTTGTTTATACTTCTATAGAGAGAACAACTGGTGCAAGTTTGATCAAAGTAGTCGATCGCGTTCAGAAATAACGTCAAATGGAACTCGAAAGAAGAAAAAATATTGTGCGCAAACACCTGCAGAAACCGGAGTGGTCCGGTTCCAAGCTAGCTAAAGTACTGAAAATGCTGAAAATAACAGTTTGTCGAGTTCTCAAAACCTACAAGGTAACCCTGAGTGTGGAAAAGAATCAGCGGACCTACGAAAAACTGGAACCAGGGTTCGTCAACTGCGCAGCAAGGTGTAGAGGTGCGTTAAAGCCAACCCCGGTCTTTCGATACGAGATGTGACCAGAAGGTACAACGCCAACTTTCAAACGGTACAGAACATCCTTGCCAGGGAAGGATACATGTCGAACCCAACTAACAATTTTCACAATGTAAACGCTTTACTCATTTCATTTATACAGTCTCAAGCTGTATTCAAACGTTATACGATATGAGGAAACCTTTACTCAACCTCTATACAAGCAAATCTGGCGAACTAAGTCAGCTACTTATGGTTGTTGGGACGGTCGGGAGAAGCTCTTATTGAATTATCCATTAACGCTTTTATACAGCTGTTATCCTGCTGTTTAGTTGTGTGTGAACTTGAAAGGCGCTTATTCAACCTTTTCCCGGTTATCCAATAATCACTACACAGCTTTCTCTTGAAGCCGGGTTAAATACTGTTTACGCTTTTTTATGAAGGAATTTATTGAGTTTATTTTGCTGTGAATCAAATTAATCGAAATTAGTTACAAATCATCACCAAATTATTTACCCTGCACCGGAACCTGGAATCGAACTCAAGACGACCTCATTGGCAAACCTTGACACTACCAACTGTGCTACGCCAACACTTTGAACTTATGTAAACAAATCAACATTCCCTTCTACAACAAAATCGCTGAGTAGAGGCTTTATAATAGTACACATGAATCACTTTTCTCGACTAGCTATAAAAGAACAGAGTAAAAGCTGTAAAACTTCACACGTCTAAAAATAAACCTAGTTGACTGTGAAAATGCTTCCGAAGTTGCTCTAACACAGTTTATAAGCTGAGTACAGGTTGTTTAGTTGTTGAAAAAGCACTTTTGATGTTTATGTTATTCAGCAAGAGTGGTTGGTTGTGTAGAAGCCATCAAATGAGTAATATATTCACTTTGTTAGCTTTGTTTTGCAGCTACAAGTTGAAAGTTGGGTAGTGTGTGTATAGAAGTGACATTAGCGTTTATTGGCTGATGTTATTCAGTGCGACTGACAAATTGAATAATGGTTGTGAAAAAGTTGAGTAAACGCTCTCCAAAACTATTTTGCTAGCTTTTGCTTGTAGCTGTATCTGCAGCTTCTTTTCAGCTACTTTACAGCACAACGCTGGAAAAGTAGGCTTACAAAGCTGAAAATGTTAGTTGGGATGTCCCGGGCTCAAATCATTTATTTTGCTGTGCTGGGCCCGCTGTCACCGTATAACGTGTTGCCTACGCCACTGGGCTGATAGAACTTGAACGGCGCTCACGAATAGCCTACCTTGTTGGGTAATGCACATAATCATTTCTGATCTGAAGCAACTTGAAATTTAGTTCAATAAAAGCAGTTCATATTCAAATTTTGCCTGGAATATACTTGTATATAGGGCAATTAAAGCTAGCTATTATCCAGTTAGTAGTTTCTTTGTTTGTTCTTACAAGTGATCGACAGATTTTATATGCGAAGTGTTTTGAGTAACGGCGGATATGAAACTCAGAACTAATTCACTAAGGCTGCGATTCACGCGAGTCGATTCAAAGGCATCCTATAAGGAAAGTTGTTTCTTTGGGAAGGGAAGAATTGTATTCAAGAGTAACAATTTCCTGTCGAGGGTCTTACCGCTTCGTTGCGTTTTTCCTACCCCTAAAGCATTCCTTGTCACAAAATATTACACTTCTTCCCTCTCCCCTTTGACGGTGTGACAAATACCATCATTTTCAAATTTGTCTGTTCAACTTTCCACTAGAGCTTGACGATCAGGAGATTCATAAGGTCATGTCGAATTGTGAAAAAGTAATTCGGATGGTCAGGACCTATTGGGACAGCTGTAAGAGGACTGTATATTGAGGTTAAACACCGGTCCTAGTCAGAAATTTGAATTTTCCAGTGTGGCAGTCCGAAGCATATCAATGCGGAATCAGGTAATGAGCGAATTGCAGCAACATTGGTGCTTCTAGCATGGTATTCACTCAATTTAAAAACCAACGAAATGGAGAACTTTGATTCAGGAACACCAGAACTAGTAAACAAAGCAGTGGAGGCACCATCAATGAACACATCATCAGCAAACATTAATTCAGCAGAAAAAAAATAAATAATAAATACATTGCCAAACTTGGTTACGAACACAATCACATGTGGCAAGAGATTTGAGTACACTAAGTCTTTTTTTACATGGTTTTTTATACGGTTGGAGCCGCTGACACGCAAATTATACTATACGTTTTTAACGATTTCTCGATAACAATCCAACCTATCGACTTGATTCGAACCACATTATCCGTTTCAAGCCATAGGTAATCGATTGGCATAATTTAAAAAAAAATCACAAAATTTGGTGTTAATACACAATTAAAAAAAAATAAATGTACCATACACGACTGCACTAATGAATTTGAGTTAATGCAGTGATGGAAATTTTACAGGAGAGCGGGGCAATGTTCATTAATAATTAACATTGAGTGTTAATTTTTAGTAAACATTGCTCCGCTCTCCTGTCAAATTTTCGTGACTGCATGAACTCATATTCATCGGTGCACTCGTCCATAGGGAGCTGCACCGTCGGGTTAACCTCACTTTTTTGACATCTGGCAGTGGTTTGTTTACATGGTCTTAGAAAAGAAAAATTAAAAAAAAATATTAAATGTTTTTGGAGAGGAATATTTTTTAAACGAACATAGTCGGATCCCTAGTAGCATCGGTTGTGGCAGCTTCTATACAACTTATAACAGTCATAAAGAAGTTGCTGCAACTTATTGTGACGGAAATGTGCTACTCGGGATATCATGTATTTTAATTTTGTTTTTTTTTTTTAAAACCTCTAATCCACTTGAATCGACTAACAAGCAAAGGTTAACAAAGCACCACTGGATGTCAAACTGATGCATGCGGGTTCATCGCGTTCCTTCGTGACGTCAGCGTGCAGCATCCTATTGACCAATGCACGGAATGAACTGCATGAACAAATTTGACGTTTGAGCGGTGCCGTGTTTACTAAAAATGAACACATGAATAATACTCGCGTAACATTTAAAAATGGCATATGAACTTATGTACACAAAATTTTTCCCACGAACCGAAGTACGCCGATGCAAACCAACAACACCATCGGGTAGGGTGAGTTTCCCCCTTCCCGATAGTGGTTTGGTTTGCGTGGGTGTTCTTCGGTTCACGAGAAAAGGGCATAATTGTTTATAAAAGTTGATAGGACCTTTTTCTAAAGTTACGCGAGCATTGCATCATGTGTTCATTTTTAGTAAACACGGCACCGTGAGTTCATTCCGTGCATTGGTCAATAGTCGAGTGCACGAGTGAACTTTTGTTCATCTACTGAAAAATAAATTGACACAACAGCGGGGCCCTGTTTACTAAAAATGAACACATCAATAATGCTCGCGAAACATTTGAAAAGGGCACAACAGCGGGTGTCACTTTTTGTCGAGTGAGTGAACTCAAATCCACCCGTGCACTCGTCTACAGTATGCTATTGACTAATGCACGGCATGAACTCACGAAAAAAAAAATGAAATTTGAGTGGTGCCGTGTTTACTAAAAATGAACACATGACGTAATGCTCGCGAAACTTTAGAAAAGGGCATATCAACTTTTATAAACAACTCGTTAGGCCCTTTTCACGCGAACCGATGTACGTCCATGCAAACCAACAAGTACCCGATGGTGTTCTTGATATGCATGGGTGTACATCGGTTCGGTACATATCCCCCGTGTAAAAAGGACTGAGCAGTGATGGAAAAAAAAAATCCAAAATCAGCAACGGCCGAAAATCACTGCTGATCTTGAGATCAGCAAAGTCGCAAGCAAAAAATCACGGCTGATTTTATCTTAGCTGATCTTGAGAGTTGCAAAATCCGAGGGGGCTATTCTATCTACGTAGTAGGAAAAATTGTGTTTTGTTGTGGTTAGCTGCGCGTACGCTGAGGTAGATAGAAAGAAGATTGATTACGATTCTGAAGATTTCCTGCAAAAAGATGATGCGCGACGCATGTAGATGCGAGAAATGAAAAAAATATTTTTCGAAGAATGATTCGCTAGTTTGAGATTTTTCGAGCATCTAGAGTTGGCATTAAGATGTGTCGCCCCGCTCGGCAAAATCACAAAGCAGAAAATCAAGGCTGATTTTAACCTTAGCTTATTTTGAGATAACAACAATGTCAAACAATAGTCAAAGTAAGAAACCGACATTCACGCCTCTGGACAGCGTATGTATAATGTATATGCATCTAAACCCATGCAATATGGGTATCTATGGAATGGAATTGATGAGTAGAAGTGGAAAAATAACATTCGCTGCCATTTTGGAGTTCAAGGTGGTGGACCATTACCTTTCATTTGATAGTTTTATCTTTGAAATTGGCCCCAGTGGTTCAAAAGTTATGATTTTTTGAAAAATCTCATTTTAGAATAAAAATCGATTTTGTGGACCACCTCAACATGGAAATGGTCACCCTAATGACAAAATAAAAAAAAAATGTGTCGAATATTTAGCGATATATCAACAAAACTACCCATTTTTTATGAAATTTCAAGGACCACTATATCGCTTTGCAAGTTCAGCGAGCTTCTACAAAGTTAGCTCAACTGCTACATCAGTTTCTGCACTTATAGAAAGTTCCCTGAAGTACTGCTCAGTTTCCTGAAGATCTACGAAATTTCATGTTCCAAGTTTATACTTGTTGGCTTGTGGAGGGTCTTAGAAACCTTCCTTAAATACCTTTTAATACGTCCTTTTCCACAGTTAATACTAATAACATTTGAACAGCTGGCTTTTTCTTACCGTGTATGTTTGTTTTGATTCGCTATGAAAGTTTGACAGATAAAATGAGGGGTTCGTGGATTTTCCTATGTTTCAAGGGGTGCATCGATTAGCTTGGGACCGAAGAGAGTACCAGAGGTGAGCCAAAAAGTTGAGCACGTTTCATCGGGTTCTGGTCTTAGAGTTACCTCTATGGTACTAATCCGTGGTGATAGGTCCGTGAAAGGGGCCTTATTCTGTTTTCCTTTCGCAAAACTTTCTCTACAGTGTTTGCAAGCTCGGTTCCCGGAAGAATATGGGACGTGTACGACGAAACCAGCCCGTGACTAGATATCAAAGGAAGATTCGACCGTAATTGTGTGAACGGCATCGTAATTGTGGTCAAGCACTGACGTCGAATCATCATCGATCGCTATCTTGACAGTTGTCAAGCACATCTGCTGCGTCATCCCCGACTGCTGACCTGCTCTAATTCGTCATGCATAAAATATACAGCTTTAAGTTCTTGACACAAGTTGTAGCTAATATCAAAACCTACAAATGCTACATACATTATTTTACAGAATTGTATTGATGAAAAAAGTTAGAGTCAAATGAATGTAAATGAATGCACCAAATTAATGTAAATAATTTTTCATGCCTGGTCTTCGGCAATCATTCTCGTTTATGTAAAAACCGGCCATTTTGGATCTTGTATTTTTTTAAATGGCATCTTTGATATTTTTCAATAAATTGTAACACGAAAACGTCACTTCTTATCGAAATGACATCTGAAACAAAGTTGTTAAGAAAAATAAAGTATTTCTGGGAAACATATACACGGTAATTTTTTTTAAAGTAATTTTGAGTAAAATAGTAAATTTTCGATATTTATAATTAAAAAAAAATGCAACAACTTTTGAAATATTTAAAACTATGGACGCTTGAAAATTGACAAATAAATAGGCAGGGGTAAATAGGCGAGGCGAATAAGGGTGGGTGCAAATCCACTCACGGAGCAGTTGCTATAGAGCATTTTGATTTTGGAGGCGAACCAGCCCAAGGCTGAAAGCCTCCCTAATAAAGATAAATAATAATAAAGCATTTTGAGCCCAAAACGCAAAAAACTTTCAATTTTGTCTCGACTCCTTCCGATTTAAATGAAACATTGCTCACATGTTCGCTGCTACCAGTGGTTGCATTTTTTTTTATGTGAATACAATTTTTATCAAGAGTAATTTTTAAAAAGGCGTATTCAAACAATGGATTATATTTAAAAAAATTATAACACCGAAAGATTGACCTGATCAAAATTACATCTGAGAAGAATTTGTAGGTAATTCAATTTTCTTTAAGAAAAAAATACGCTGAAAGTAAAAACTCAGCAATTTTATAGTAAACATCCCCTTCAATTTTTATATTTTTTGTTACGGAAACTGAAGGAATGCCCGAAAATTTGTTGAAGAGTGTAAGCTGGTAACTTGCTTCAAAAATTTCTATATTTTTTTAATTGAAAAATGAAACCATTGGTAGCATCGAAAATGTGAGTAATGTTTCATTCAAATCGAAAACACTCATGCCCAATCGGTTGGCGTTTTGGGCTGAAAATGCTCTATATAACTTTTTCTCAAGATCCCCCTTATAAAAAATAATTACATACACTTACACACATAACATTTAATTAATGAGCAGAACAAACCATAACGCTTCTGCAACGTAAACAACAGAGCTCAAAGTTTTCAAATCTCATTAAAACAGTGCAACATCAAACATCTTTTTAACAGCTTCGCGACAGTCTACGGAAAGCAGAGCTAGATGACAGCCAAGCAACAGCAAGAGACAGAGCGGTAGAGACGGCAAGAAACAAAGTTCATCTACCTTAATGCTAATGTTTCTTACACTGGTCAGGTGGTAATTGCTTCGGCTGCTGGGGCTGGCGTTCATCCGCGTGGCCGTGTGGTACATCGAACGGTCATCATAGCCACCGACCCGGCCTCCCAGCCCCCGGGGATTCCTCAGGCAGTGGCACTTTTCCAGCGCGTTCTTAAACTCCCGCCGGAATTTACCTGCAAATGATCGAGAGATGGAAATTGAGAATGTGAGAACAAACGACATAATAGTGAATAATTAAAAGTTTTAACGTTTTTTATCTTGAAGCATGTGCGTAGTCAGTGGGGGGCAGGAGGGAACAACATATTTTTATTAATTTTATATGTTAGTTAAAAATTCCTCTTATTTTTTTTAAAGTTTGAGTTGCAAAAACATGAAGGTTTTCAATGGCCTAGATTGAACGTTATTGGACTGCTTTCAATTTGTTTCAAAAGTATGGATCTTAAAAGAGAAGAATTCGAAATGAATTTTGAGCAGAATTAAAAACAATTCGTGGGATAATTTGTATTAGGATAATACAAATATAATTCTTAAGAGATCTCTATGAGAATTGTAAGGAGACATCCAAGTGAGTACTATCGATAATTTCTACGGCATTCTGAAGAGGATTATATTTTTTGCAATGCGCAACATAATCCTCACCTTCCTTGCCTCAGTCTATAACCTTTTCTTTGGAGTTCACTCTTAGCTTTTGACACAAATAATTGTGTGTTTTTTTCGGTGCGGGTCAAGCGAAAGGCTATTTTTTCGATAGCAACTCAATGTTGCAGTGCTTGCTCATTGACTGAAGTTCATTCTCAGCTGCCTTTGGAAGCAACTGGAGATGTTCGTTGAAAAAAAAATAAACAATTAGGTTCAGCTTCGCACATGGCTCCGCGAAACCGTCTATGGAATAAATTGCGAATTTTGTGAACTTACTGGGCGCGGATCCCACTCAGATGATCATTACATATCGCATAGCGAAGTGTTCGGATCGAATAAAGCAAACCGTTCTTGAATCAACCTTTTCTTGCAGGTAGACAGTGTTGGTCCGAACGATAGCGTGCGTGTTCCGTTTCGTGTCGAACTGTAAGCGAAGGATTGCAAAGCTGCCGATTGAGACGCTAAGAGCGACAAGCGGACAAAAGAAAGCATAGAAGCCGAGAAACATTGCATCGGTCCGAGTTCCGTTGCAGCAAAAGGAGTACGAGAAAGCAGAGCAGTGTCTGCTGAAAGTGGCGCAGTCGGAGTGCAAGGTGAATCGTTGTCGTCCTGAAGTTCCTAGGATGGCTCCGCTGCCAGTACAGTGGGTCACACCGAATCTACGTGCTTTCAGCTACGTCGGGGTCGATTATATGGGACCGTTCGATGTGACCGTAGGGCATAGATCAGAGAAGAGGTGGATTGCGCTGTTTACCTGTATGGTAACACGTGCGGTTCATTTGGAAGTGGCACATGGGCTGACCACCCAGTCGTGTTTGATGGCGATATATCGATTTATTGGTCGCCGGGGCTGGCCGATCAAATTCTTCTCGGACAACGGGACAAACCTACGTAGAGCTAGTAAGGGGAAGTGGTGGAGGCTGTACAGGGCATTAGAGATGACTGTGCAGACCAGCTAACGAACGCGAGAACGAAGTGGACGTTCAATCCCCCGCCGCACCTCACATGGGAGGCGTCTGGGAGCGCTTGGTCTGCTCAGTGAAGGAAGCGCTGACAGCGCTTGATGATGGAAGGCGACAAACGGACGAGATACTGCAGACAGCCATCGTTGAAGCGAAGGACATTATCAACTCCCGTCCGCTCACCTACGTGTCACAGCAGTCCGACGAAGCAGAAGCGCTCACCCCGAATAATTTCTTGCGGGGAACGTCAGCGAACCAGCCTGGTAGAATCTGTCCACCTCCCCATCCGGCAGTGGCCTTTCGGGATGCGTTTCAGCGTTCGCAGCAGTTATTTACGGTTGATTTACAAAAAAAAAAAGGTTTTGTTTTTCCTTGATCCGAACACGAAGGAAAAATCATTGCCATCAAGTTCAAATCAGAAGATTGTTAACAAGTTTTTTCCATTGCTGGGAGCACCGTTCAATACATGAGAGTGTACGACCTCCCACCAGATGTCGCGGATAGTGATCTAGCATTGGTGCTAGGGAAATACGGTGATGTAAAGCGTGTAGTTCAGGAGAAATTTCTTGCCGCATTGGGCCTCGATATGTTTACAGGTATTTGAGGTCTACACAGTTCGAAAAAGTAGTGTAAATTTCTGTTTAATATGATGCACATAAATGGAGCGTCACATATCATATAAGTTTACATTATAAATCATGTTAAGTTCTGAGATATTTCATGCAATGTAGCAAATATTGTATACAAAAGCTCATCTTTGTAAACAACATTGTTTACAAGTTGCTCGGTTGTGTGAAATGAAATACAACTTTACGTGAATGAATGTTTACATCACAATTAAAATTCAGAATTTTTATCTGTGTATATATGGATGTGAAAAAGGAGATTCCCAGCTCGCTGCATATCCTCAATCGAAAGGGTCATGGATGGGACGTCCCCGGAAGCCGAGTAGAAAAGTGGAGCGGAAGCAAGCGCTGCTGAGAAAAAGCAGGCGCCTCTTTTCAAGTGCAAAAATGATGCAAATTATTATTACAAATTCAAGATAGTGGACTATACCGAAAAGGAGCGGATAAAGGACGAAAAGGAGGCCAAGCGCCGGGTGCTGCTGAATGAAAAATAATTGGAAGGAGCAAGAGAGTTGAGCACACGGATGAAATCGGAAGAAGAACTCATAAACACACAATTCTTGAAGAATTTCACGACCATAAGCAGCTGACAATAATTCGGTTGTTAAATAAAATTATCTTCTTTTCCTTTATTTAACGTCGGTCTCTGTTCCGCAATCTAGTGCCAATCAACGACGGACATCGATTGCCATCCATTGACGGCAACCGAATGTGCAGGAAGGCAGCTTACACACCTGCGTAGGATATCGCACCCATTCACAACACACACATGGGCCGGGACCAACGGCTTTACTTCCCTTCCGAAGGAAGACGTGACCAGAGATTTTTATGCCTCAGAAAAATCCCACCGACCTCGGCTGGGATTGCACCCAGACCCATTGGAGTGTTAGAAAGCAGTCACGCTTACCACTACACCACCGGTGCCGGCTAAATAAAATTATAATAAAGGTAATAATATAAAAGAAAATCCTAGAGATTATTCCAAAGCGGATCTGAGCAGGAATCCAATGAAGAATTCCAAGGGGACAGAATTCCGAGGAAGGTTAAAAAATGAGACTGATTCCAGGAGAATCGAACAACATGTATCAATCTTTTAAATTTGTCGAACCTCTTAACGGAATCCCTTTATGAAGAGCTTTGAGTGCGTTGGTTTATTTCCTTTTAATTCAGTTATAATTGCTTACCTTTGGACAGATACGTGTATTTCGTCTACTACTTGGAGAGGAGTATTTTGAAAACAAAGAAATAAAGTGTTGTAAGAATTAACTCATAGAAATTCTAAGGAGAATTTCATGGAATTGCGAGAGGAAAATGACATTATTTCCAGGGAACTCTGAGTAGCTGTAGTAGCAATAGTTAAATTAAATAGTTTTGCTTCTAAAGAAAATTTTCTCACAAATACATTTTTACCCAATTTACACAAAATTTACAGAAACTCATTTCAACTCTATGATTTGTATAAACGTGATCATTAAAAAAAGTTTTCATTGAACATTTTCGTTTCTGGCTGCATATTACCAACCGGTAAATTTTCAAGATTTTCTTCGTGAAAACCGGGAATTTCTAAATGAAAATTCACTGGCCACCCTGTTCTAGGGGTAACACCAAAGTATGTCAGAGTAAACATCCAAGAAAGTTTTGGAAAGAACTATAATGGTGGTAAGCTCCATCTCGGATCAACTTTTAATCCCGTCCCTGTTTGTATGATCTGCAAAATATTTGCTTAGAGTCATGTTGATTACATCTGATGTCGACATCAAAGCAGCCGGACATTCTTGATCGGTTGGAGATTACCACCAAAAGAGAGCTTGGATTGGAACACCAAGTTAAATGTAGGAAGAGTTCCAGGGTAGTTGTGAGATAAGCTCCAGGTAACGTGTGAGGAAAGTTCAGATTTGAGTTTTTTTTCTATCTGTGGAAAAATCCATGACGATGGTGAAAAGGATCCATTTCTAATTAATATGCCAAACATGTTCTGAGAAGAGTTTCGAGAGCGTTCTGTTGACAATTCCAAGAAAATTCCGAGGATATTGAATTCTGAGGAGAGTTCCAAGGAGAGTAAATTCCAAGGTATGTATCTCTAAATATAATTTCAAGTGTATTCTGAAGAGAGCTTCATGGGGATTCTGAGTAGAATTCCAAGGGAATCGAATTTTAAGGGTATACTGTTAAAGAAGAAATAAAAGAAAGAAGATTCGTGCTTCCAAAAATTCAAAGTGGTAAGGCAAAATAAATAAAATAGAGGCCATTTGTGGATTCCATCTACTTTCACCTTAAGAGAAAAACTATATTACACCGAGGATTACACAGCAATAACATATTCAACAATTCAAATACAAAACAAAATAACAAGTTAAAAAACAAATGAAAGCAAATGAAAAAAAAAACCTCATTCCGAATTTGAGAAGACATTTTCTTTTTCACTAGAAAGTTCTGTTTCATATGTTTCTTCCATCTCTAATTTTTCCAGCCGATCTTCGCTTTCTTGGATGTGGTCCTCTGGGAGTAACATTTACAATGTTTCTGTCGTCAATGTCTTTGACTTTTTTCGCGGGATTTTTCTTAATCCTAAAAGAATATTTATTTACTTTCACGTATGATAATCATTACGCTATTTACCTGTGATTACATGATCAGAACTGAGCAACATCCGTGTTGCAAGCCTGTCTTGAGAACTTTCTGGAAAATTTTTGGCTGTATAATCTTAAATATTTGTTTCTAGATTTTATTGCTTCTTCTAACAACTGCCCTATTGGTAGCAGTGCATGTTCTATAACAATGGTACTGCGGAATAAAGTTTTATGCAGAGTTGGAGTCATCGCATATCACGGATACAGTCGAACGTATATCTCCGCTGTTCCTTGAGTAAATTTTCCAAACTTTTTCGTATCAATTTTAAAACCACTACCTAGTGTCTTCAATATCCGGATCAGCAAAGAATCTTTT